TTTCTCATCATTCCTCATTCCTCCTCCTCCTCCTCCACTCCTTTCCTTATCAACACCTTCTCCCTGTCGCACCCCGAAGCCAGTTTTTGAGGCAGGACGGGCGTTTCGCCTGAGACTTCCTCACCATCTATGACCCTGCTTCTTAAACATTGGACGGCGGGTGGTTTTTAAGATGTGGCACTCGCCCTAGCGCCGCGCGCATTCGGTTTAAACAACTGCAAGAGTTTCACGGATGGAGACCGGATCGTTTTTACATTGTGGCTCTCTCGCCTTAGCGCCGCGCACACTCGTTTCAAACATTTGCGAAGGTTTGACGGATTGAGGGCGGGCCGTTTTCAAACTGTGGCTCTCGCCTTAGCGCCGCGTGCCTTCGTTCTACACATGTGCAAGAGCTTCCCGGATTGAGGGCGGTTCCTTTTCAACATGTGGCTCTCGCCTTAGCGCCCCGCACATTAATTTTTTTAACAATTTGCCAAAGTTTCACGGATTCCCATGGTCAGCGTACCAGACACTGTGTTTTGAATCCTCCTCCTCCTCCTGCTCGTCCTCCTCATCCTCCTCGTCGTCCTCCTCCTCCTCCTCCTCCTCCCTCCTCACACTCCTCCCTCCTCCCATCCTTCCCTCCTCCCTCCTCCCTCCTCCCTAAACTCCCCCTCCCCCCTACCCCCTCCCCTCCTGCCTCCTCCTCCTCCTCCTCCTCCTCCTCCGTCCTCCTCCTCCTCCTCCTCCGCCGCGCCGCCGCCGCCGTCGCCGCCGCCGACGCCGCCTCCGCCTCCGCCTCCGAACCGCCTCCCTCCTCCTCCCTCCTCCTCCTCCTCCGCCTCGCCTCCGCCTCCGCCTCCGATCCGCGCCTCCGCCTCCTCCGCCCTCCTCCTCCCCTCCTCCTCCTCCTCCTCTCCTCCTCCTCCTCCTCCTCCTCCTCCTCCTCCCCTCCCCCCCCCTCCTCCTCGCCCCTCCTCCTCACTCCTCCTCTCCTCCTCCTCCTCCCTCCTCCTCCTCCTCCTCCCTCCTCCTCCTCCGCCTGACTCCCTCTCCTCCTCCTCCGCCTCCTCCTCCTCCTCCTCCTCCTCCTCCTCCTCCTCCTCCCCTCCTCAGTATCATCATTTCCGCCTCCTCATCCGCCCCTCCTCATCATCATCACTCATCCTCCTCCTCCGTCTCAGTTAGCCCTGCCCTCCGCCTCCGCCTCCTCCTCCTCCTGCTCCTCGTCCTCCTCCTGTTTCCTGCTGTTTGTCCTATTCCTGCTACCCCTCCCCTGCTCCTCCTGCTCACTCCCCTCTTTTTCTTCATCCTCCTCCTCCGTCTCCTCATCATCATCATCCGCCTCCTCCTCCTCCTCCTCCTCCTTCTCAGCCGCATCTGCCACCGCCTCCGCCTCCTCCTCCTCCTCCTCATCCTCCTGCTCCTCGTCCTCCTCCTGTTACTGCTGCCTCTCCTGTTCCTGCTGCTCCTGACCTTCCTCCTCCTCCTCGTCCTCCTCCTCCTCCTCCTCCTCCTCCTCCTCCTCCTCATGATGAGCAGCATCATCATCATCATCATCATCATCATCATCAGCATCAGCCTCATCATCATCATCATCATCATCATCATCATCATCATCATCATCATCATCATCATCATCATCATCAGCATCATCATCATCATCATCATCGATCATCATCATCATCATCATTGCATATCATCTCCTCACATCAGCATAATCATCTCATCATCAACAGAAAAAGCAATCAGCTCACATCATCATCATCATCATCAGCAGCAATCATCAATCATCAGCATCATCATCCTCATCGTCATTCCTCATCCTCATCCTGCATCACATCATAAGCATCATCATCATCATCATCATCATCAGCAGCATCCTCAACTCATCCTCCTCCTCCTCCACCTCCTCCTCCTCCAAATCATCCTCCTATTCCTCCTCATCCTCCCCTTCCACCTTTTCCCTCCGCCTCCCCTCCTCATCTCTCCTCATGATCCTCGTCCTGGTCCTCGTCCTCCTCCTTCTCCTCGTCCTCATCCTTATCCTCGTCCTTGTCCTCGTCCTCCCCCTGCTCCTCCTCCTCCTCCTCCTCCTCCTCCTCCTCTCCTCTCCTCCTCTCCTCCTCTTCCCATCCTCCTCCTCCTCCTCCTCCTCCTCTTCCTCCTCCTCCTCCTCATCTCCTCTTCCTCCTCTCCGTCCACTCCTCCTCCTCCTCCTCCTCTCCTGCGTTTGCTCGTCCTCGTCATCGTCCTCCGGCCTCCGCATCTTTTCGTTTCGTCTTCTGCTAACTCGCATTTTTTCCTTCAGTATTATTCTTAGTGTATTCCTCTCCTCCTCCTCCTCCTCCTCCTATCCTCCTCCCTCCCTCTTCTCTGCTCCTCCTCCTCCTCCTCCTCCATCACTCCTCTCCTCCATCACTCCTCCTCCTCCCCCTCCTCCTGCTCCTCCTCCTCCCCCTCCTGATTTTTTCATTCCTGCTCGATACTTTCTTGGACGAGACCGATGTCATGATAGAAA